TTTTCAAAATTTAAAATGTTTCATGAATTATAATTTTTTTATCATATTTCTTATATATCTAAAATAATTTTAAATATAAATAAATACTGCTGTTTTAAATTTTAAAGAGTAAACAAATAGTTTCTTTAAAACAATCTGCATTAATCCCACTTTGTTAATTTCATTAAATATTTTTTGCTGTAAAAATATTATTTGTGACGAACGGAGATGTCGTTATTCGTATATTTGTTCTTTTCTTTATAACCATTTTTTATTATTTTTCGTAATTTTACCGCCACCAATTCGAAATTGTAGGCGTTCGCCGCCTTACATTCCCTGCCATGACCAGCTTGCTGTTCCATAACAAAAGGTTTCAATATTTTGCTAATTTTAGCTTGTGAGAACATTCACATATGTTGCTCATTTCGTTTGATTTCTTAAAGGTTGAAATTAAAGCGTTTATCGAACAAAAGAGGATTTTGTTACACACCACGTTACAGCAATTATCGATACAGTTCAACATAATGAAAACGCCCTCGAATGGAACTAAATTTTGATTTCAAAAATTTTTAATGTTAAGGGTAAAATATTAATTTCACGGACATTGGCCATGAAGTGTAGTTGTTGAAAATTTATTTTTTTATTTAATATTGAATTTGACTTACTTGGTTAAATTTTTTTCCTACAAAATTTTTGAATTTAATATTGAGATTTTTTTAAATCATAATGAATAAATATAAAAAAATAATAACTTAATCTGTCTTGACTGAATCAATCAATCACATCAGCTTTTTATTAATTAATATAATCACCTGTATGTTGTGTCATATTTTACAGCAATTGACTTTTAATTGTCTTACCTTATTAATTTGTCATTAAATAGTTAAAAGTGGATAAATTTTCTAATTAATCTTTGTTAAATAATTTTTATTCCATCTCAAATCCCCATATTTAGAATAGGCAGCATTTATTTAAAATTTAATTATCAAAAAAAAAAAATTCTAAAAATTCTTCGTTCAAACGCCTTTGATTTTTAAAATAACGCAGTCATATTTTTTAAAACAGATAAATAAAATATTTTATGTATTATTCGGTTTTAGCGAAAAATTATTTTACTCTCAAATAATTGTATAATTTCTTCGAAAAAGTAAAATAATTACAAAAATTTTTCCTTGAGTGTAACCATACCGCCACCTATACACACATAGCCAGCACACACCACCCAATTCCTCAACCACAGGCCAACCATTTAGTCGATTCATGAATGATATAACTGTGACATATTGACACTAGAGGGCAAAGTCTTTAACTTATTGCATACATCCCCTAAAGTATACTTTAGTTTTTGTTACTTTGTCATTAATGTAAAAACTCCATGGCTACGGATTTTATTTTGGGTGAAATAGACGATGTGTTATCTTAATTTTTCAACTCCAATGATTTTATGAAAGAAAGCAACAACAACAACAGAATATTGATATATCCATGGGAGAAGAAAAAATGTCCCCATCACTTTCACATTATAGTTATGACAATAGATATTCTTGTTATTTGCTACAACAACAAAAATATGAGAAATCGTTGGGTAGAATGACAAAGAGAACAAATTGAAAATCTTGGAAATTTGATAAAAAAAAACAATTTGACCAAATACAGAAATGTTAGAATTTGCATATATTCAAGATTTTTTAGATATCAGACTATACAACCACCTATACTAGGGCAATGTGTCGTATCCTATTTTTAGTTTCACAGAAACCAGGATGATATGTGAGGTCTTCTTATATTAGAGTTGGTAGTTCCGGAACGAACTAGTTCATTGGAACTACCCAAGAAAGTTCTATATCGTTCATTTTTCTGATCTCGTCCCAATATTTCATCTCGCCGTTAGTGATCTCGTCATTTTCACTGATCTCGTTCGATTCTCGATAGTTTTTCAGATGCTTTCACATTGCGAAAAAAAGTAAATAATAAAATTATTTATGAAAATAATGTAGATAAATAAAAAATATTTTGTGATTATCGTAGGCAGTGGAATTCTGTAGCATCTGAATATTCCACTAAATAGGAGTTAATTGAAATCAAAAAAGAACGTTGAAAGATAAATTCAGAGGAACTATCTAGGAGTCCGAAATGTATGGAGCAAAAGAACTATGTAAGGGAATTAGTTACATTAAAAAAGAACGTCGATGCAATCCGTGAACTATAGTGCCCAACTCTATCTTATATATAATATATGAACTGGATTCTTATTTTAGATAACATAACGGAAATTGACGAAATTTATATAAACAAATGTCTAGTAAATATTCTGTTGAACCCAAAGAGGATTTAAATATTTTCACGATTTCACATATTCATCTTTTATTTATTTATTTTTGCCTCAAAACGACTTATCCTAAATCGTTTTTCAATCTCAGTTAAATACAGCAAAAAAACAACCTCTTCCTTATTTCCCCTTCAAACATCGGCACATGACTGGGTATGGCACACATACACCTCCAGAAAAGCTGATAACTTTATGGATGGCAGACATTAGCCAGCATCCGTTTATACGCTCACCTACACCAACCCCGACAAACATAGATATTGTCGTCGTGATATGAATATTTGCAATCTTTGTATAAATGGAATGGCATGAATGAAAGAATGAGTGACCACCAAAATGAAACGTCGTCTATTCAATTGTGTGTGTGTGTGTCTGGCGTGTTCATTCTTTTATTGTCCATTTTTGTTGAAAAGTGGGAGAAAGAAATGAAAAGTATGATGAGGTTTAAATGCCTGGATGCCATTATTATTACCATTGTTTGCCTTGTGTAGGATCGGAGTTTGTTGGCTGATTGTTGTTGCTGACATTGTTGTTGTCGTCGTCGCATATTTGTTTCCGGTTCGGCATTGTTCTGCCATAACGGTATTCACAATAATTGAAACGGAAGCTTTGGTTTTTGGTTTTGTCATGTTTCCACATACCATGTCTCGATAGCAGAGAACAGCCGTAGTAATGTCCTACTCCTCTCCTCCGCACAAAACTTACCTTTGTAGATGTTATATGGTGTATTGTGGGATTGTGAGGAAGATAAAGAGAAAGTAGGAGATTTTTTTTAGATTTCTTCTATTTGGAAGGGTAAGAAAGAAAGGGGGATAGAGAAATTAAAGGAAATCTATAAAAACTATTAACACATAATTTTTATGTAAATATTTGAGCTTTTTTCTAAATTTATTTAAACATTTTCATTTCAACTTTATCGCTTTTTTAGCATCCTTCCAGTGGGCTTCTGCCCACATTTTTTAAATAATATTTTTTATTTTCTTTTTGAACGTTTCACCTTGGTAGAAATGAGAAATCCATTTAAATTTCATAAATTCCATTCATATGCTTCTGTTTGTCTGCCTGTCTGACTGTCAGTGTGTGTTCCTGTTCTCTGGTTATTGTGTGAACATTTTATGATTTATGAGGTCAAATGCCATGTTAATAAAAGGTCTGGAGAATGTAATCGAATGTGAGCGTAAGGATGTTTGGGGTTAATCATATAATAATTATAAATGATAATCGATTTGAAATAATTTAGTGAAGTGGGAAATCATAGGGTGTTGAATTCATTCTAATATTTGTCAAATCAAGGTTTCTATGAGAGTATGAGCGTCTAATACCCCAAAATATCTCAATTAGGGGAAAATGTCATTCTACTGGCAACACTACCTCAAATACCAGACTGAAATGTGAACTGCCTTAATATACAACAACTAGTGTGACCAACAATACTACAAACTTGGTTTTATGCCAAGACATCAACCCTCAAGCCTAACTTCGGGTAGTATTCAACCTTTGGCACATATGATGGCAACATTACTTAGACTACTGCTCAACCCTAATATAAATTTAGTGTAGCCAAATAAATAATTCAACATTAACAATTCACAATGAATGAAAATTACCATGGTTATTTTCTTGGATAAATAACGAAAATGTTGTCACAGAACTGAAAATAAAGATGGCAACCTTATATCAGTATTGATCTCTTCCTAAAGATGCAAATTACCAACTGAAATTTAAAACCTGACTTGACGTTTAGCTGAGAAAACAACCTTGGTTATATATTTCTCAAACTCCGTGATTTGAAATGTTGCCAGAATTAATCTTGAAAAATATCTATTAAAGACAATAACCTTTTCCAAAATTATCTTTACTAACATAAAATCATATTACACTGAAAGAATTTTAATATATTTTTATAAAGCTATATTTTATTGAATTTAATTGAACAAAAATGTTTTTATATTTGAATCTCTTTTCTAACATTTCCTTTCTTTTTTCTTTCTCTTTGCAGAGTTTCACAATCAAAACACCTCTTTTTTGGATAACTATATCACTGGAAAGCCTGAACATATTCTAAAACATAACTAATTTTTGGAAAGATTTTATTGCTATCCCGCCCTTAAATACAATTAGTTACAATTTTCTACAACTGCTGCTGATTTTCATTCACATTTCCTATTTTTCACTTGGGAGAATTTCTACGCAACTATCCAAAAGAAAAACAAACAACCATCATACAAGGACTAGACAAAGCCGAGCAACTAAAAGGAACATCGGATAAAACGTAATCATTTTTATACCTCAACACTTTTAAATTGTAAATTTTTGTACTTAAGTGTTAAAATTAAGGTAAGTATATATCATAATAACCCACAAGGATTGCTTATTAAAAATAATTTTATTTGCAGATTTACACAAGCCACTGAGAGAAATATTTAAAACTAAACAAAAAATCAACATCATAAATTATATTTTAAATATAAGATTGTATAGACAAGAAAAGAAAAACAAAAAAAAAAAACAATTAGCTTCAAGCAACTTTTCAAACTGCTAGTTTGTAAATTCTTGTGAAAACCCAACCGGAACAATAAGTAAAAACAAAAACAACTTGCTTTCTAGCAAAAGAAGTCATTAGCTCCTAAGTATCACCAAAAAAACTCCTACACAACTCACACACACAACACCACAAACCAACCAACCAAGCTTCAAGATGACTATGAGTACAAATAACTGCGAAAGTATGACGTCATACTTTACAAACACCTATATGGGTGCCGATATGCACCATGGTCACTATCCGGGTAACGGTGTAGCCGATCTCGATGCCCAACAAATGCATCACTACAGTCAGACACCAAATCATCAGGGCAATATGCCTTATCCACGTTTCCCGCCTTATGATCGTATGCCCTACTACAATGGCCAGGGTATGGACCAGCATGGTGTCTACTCCCGACCTGATAGTCCATCGAGTCAGGTGGGTGGCTGTGTGCCACCAACGCAGGCGAATGGTGCACAAATGATACCAACACAACAACAGGGTCCACCGCAGCAAACGTTAAACGATGCCCACCAACAACATCATCCGCAAGTGACGCAACAACAGGTCACACAACAGCAACAACAAATACCGGCGCATCAACAACATCCACAACAACAACAGCAGCAGCAACAACATCAGCCTGTCGTCTATGCCAGTTGTAAACTGCAAGCGGCTGTCGGCGGTTTGGGTATGGTACATGAGGGCGGTTCACCACCGTTGGCGGATCAAATGGTTGGCGGTCATCATATGAATCCACAAATGGCCATGCAACATCATATGCAGCATTCACAGGCTCAGGTGAGATGATGATGATAATAATGAACATTTTTTTGTTTATAGGTTATTTAATTAAAATAAAAATACAGAAGGGACAATAGGTGCGGGTACAACATCAATGGTTAAAATTCAGATTGGTAAAATATCGAAATAATTATATACGATACCATTGGATCTGAATTTCGTCTGGTAAAAAAATGTTCTGAAATAGATATCTTCAACTTCTGTAATACATATACTCAACAAACAAATTCTATGTGAAATTCTTCATATGAAATTTAATTTAGACAGTTAGTATTATTCTGTAATTCCGTATATGAACGAAAATTTCGAAAAATAATATGAAAATCTCATTCGAGATATGTTAACCCAACTTTTTGCACATATAATTTCCAAAAAAAAAAAAAAAAAAAAAAAATGAAAAGAAAAGAAAAAAATTGAGCTGAATCTCTTATGAAAGTAGGTCGCTACGACATTAGATTTCAAATCGATGTGCTCTATTCGAGCTGGGAAATATTGTTCTTGCTCGCTCAACAAAGGGAACTAGTTCATTCATTTAGTTCCATAATTACTTTTCGTTCAATGAACGGAAAGATCTATATGAACGACTGGATCAAAAGGAACTAAATGATCGGAAGCAAGAAATAAATAGATGAGCGAAGGAACCGGACCTAGTACTGAATAGGAATTAGGTCTTTAGGTTCTAGTTGAGCGAATGAGAGCAAAATGAACGATCCTGTACCGATCGTTCCTTTTGTAGAATAGTTTCGTTAAACATGTTCGTTTCGGAACGACATACTCTAGAGTTGGTCAATTTTTCGAACGCCTTATTTAAAAATAGTACAGACTTGAATCCCTCAAACTATTGAGAATTTCGATTTAAATAAGATCGGGTTCTACCTTTGTTCTGTATTATTTCTTTTTTCTGTTTCATTTTCGTGTCTGTTTTATTTTTTTTTATAAACTGCGAAATAAATTTACTCAAATCCCGATCTTCTTTGCATATTCTTTTAGTTGGGTTACAATGATGTCGTAGTACCCGATGTTACGGAGGTAAGAAAATGTCAAAAACAAAAAGTAAATAACAGCATGATTTTTTATGTATACAATCACTTGACTCTAGATTTTTGTGTTCTTATTTGGCGCCCAATGGATGCCTCGATAGGTTTTTTTATTTCAGTTCGAAATGTTGAAAAACATTTCAACCACGGAGTCAAGTTTTAAGTTTTTAATTCGACAAAATATATATCTAAAAAATATGTCTATAAATGTTTAAAATATCTATTCACATCGCGTTTCTTTTGTCTGCATATTTATTTTAGTTGGGTTACAATGATGTCGGAGTACCCGATGTTACGGAGGTAAGATAACATTTTCTTTTCGAACTATGTAAATAACCCGAAGTAGAAAAATATTATGTTTTTTTGTAGTGATTGGATTTTTGATTTCCTTAACATCGATTTGGTAGTCATATCATATATGTATTTAAAACTGATTCTAAAATATTTTCGAAAAAGAATATGCCTTTACTTGACATTTACTTTCGACTGGGAAGTTAATTTCCGTTCAGTTCGAAAAGAGTGAAAATACAACTGAAGGCTAACAAATCACGGAAATATTTATTTTGAATTTACTTTCTTTTTGTAGTTTAGCATTTTCTTTTTATTTGTAGTTATTGGAACACTTGTGTTTTTCATATTAATAACAGTAAAATATACTAATCAAACTCTTTTACAATATAGGTTCATCAAAATCATCACAACATGGGCATGTATGGTCAGCAGCAAACCGGCGTACCCCAAGTTGGCGGCCCACCTCAGGGTATGATGCATCAGGGCCAAGGGCCACCACAAATGCATCAAGGACACCCCGGCCAGCATACACCACCATCACAAAATCCAAATTCACAACCATCAGGGATGCCTTCGCCTCTGTATCCCTGGATGCGAAGTCAATTTGGTAAGTGTCAAGGAAAGTGATCGCCATTCCACACAAAGTAGTGGAATTTTTTTCTTCTTCTTCAAAGAGTAGATGTTTGAGTGTAGTTAGTGATGATTTTTTTTGGTTAGTTAGTTTTTTGATTTTTGTTGCTGGTAAACGGTTGCACAAAAAATAACAAAAAATGCGGAAAAATATGGGATGCCAAATTTTAGGTCATGGGGTTTTCGAGATTTTGGAGTCTTTAGAAAGGTCTTATAATGTGTATTAAAGCAGAAAAAATAATATAAATAAGATTATTTTATATAAATAGCTGAGTTGGAAAACCAAAACTGGATCAATAGGAACTAGGCGAACGTGAAAGGAAATGTACAACTGGAGCAAAAGGCACTAGATAAATGAATGAACCGTACCTAGTACCGATCGTTCCGTTTGCTGAATAGTTCCTTTGAACTAGTTGTTTCCGAAATGACACAAAATCAAAGTGGAATCTAAATGTGTCCCATTAAAGTGGCATTAAAATTATAGAAAAAATCGATGGAATTTCCAGAACAAGTAAGGAATGGTACCTGCAACCTGTCGCGCATCTAATCAATAAGGAGTATTTAAAAAATCTTATAAAATATTAAATTAAATGGAAGTGTTTCAGTATTTATTTGGGCATATCTTTCCTCCCGTTGATATTTTTCCTCCAATGGTCCATATTTTGCTAATCTTAGTTAAGAGAATATCTTCATTATGCTGCAATGCATTTATTATAAATTTATTTTTAATTACCATCCAATTTGGCATCCCTATATTTTTTCTAAACAATTTTTAAAAGTAGTATTTGATTTAAAAAATTGTTATTTGAATTAAAAAGTCGTAGTTTTGTTATATTTTTTGTAAATTAAACAATTTTAATTTTTAAAATCGAAAATGAAAAAAATATTTCTTCGCAAATTAAAATTTTGTTAGGAGAATTTTTTTAAGTGTAGTTATTTTTGATTTAAATAAGTAGTTTTGATTTTTATGTTTATATTTAAAATTTATTTTTTTTTAATTTTAAATATTTTTTCCTGATTTATATTAGCCGAGTTTACTTGCGGCAATTATTCACTTTTGAAGTTGCGTCATGCGTCTATACAAGGCAATTCGGTTTCGAAAATATTTCTTTTTTCATTTGATATCAATAGTTTTTTCACATTTAAATAAATATAAAATGTTTACGAAATTCACAAAACGAATTGCGACATATTTTTTCCAAACAAAAAAAATTAATAGGCATTTGCATTTGCCATTGTAGTGATTTTTCAGCTCCATTGTTTTTTTTTTCTAATTAGAATGATATATAGATCCATTAATGAAATACAATGGAAATGAAAATCTGCGGAATATAATGGAAATGAAAATGTGTATGTGGTTGATGTCTTTGCTAACACCAGCTAATATTGGTTAATTGAAATGCCACTGGGAGGTGTTAGTGTACATCACAGTGGTGTAGGTAATTAAAAAATGCTGATGGTACTAAATAGGATATATTCGAAGACATTTTGAAGAAAGGGGAAACAAATTTCAAACTTGAGGTTTATATGTTTATAATAGGCAACTTTTTGTCTTTTTATATATAAATTTTATTTTTATATTTTTTATATATTTTATATAATTTTTTGTATATTTTGGTATACATGTTTATAGGGAATGTTCCCCAAAATTCTCTATGATGTATGTCAAGGCATGTTTGTATTTTCTTCATAGCAGATTTATGCCTGACATATGTCAGTCATTGCAAAATTTCACATAACAACTGTCTGCAGCTCTTCCCTCTCCCTTTCTTTCAAAAGGCAAATACAAACACACACATGTATTGTCTACTTGCATTTTCCAGCAATTACATTAGTTACGCTCTAGTTTTAGACCAATATAATACATTGGTAAAATTTGCCTCCTTTTTTCTAAACATTGCCTATTTGGTTTTGTGTGGCTGTGTGTGTACGAGTGTATTTATTGTCATTATCCTTTTTAGAGTTAAATACCTTTAATCCTATTTTTACAAGAATGGGTTTTGTTACAATTTTCACTTTTATTGCCATTTGCAAAAGGAGGTAAGTGCGAGAGTGTGTGTGCGTTGGTATATTTTTGCAAATGTCAGGTATTCTGGTTGTCTGTGGTCGGTGTGTTTCATTATTTCGAAAAGTTGTTTTTTCTCAACTATTGATTGATTGGTGAAGGTCCATAAATTTTCTCGGCATTGTTGCTGTTGCTGCTGTTTTTTTCTTTTTCATTTTGCCACATCAAGGCTAAATGTAAAGACATTTATTTTAAGTCAAGGTTAAAAAGGATTCATTATTTTTATGTCTGTGTTCGGCTAGGGTTATGCTGTGTGATAGTGTGAAGGATTGTAGGTGGCTGCGGGATGGGTGGGCTGTATTGGTTTCACAAAGAATTTAATTAAATAATTTTAAATTATTTCCAGGGAGGAAAGAGAAAAATTAAGTAATTAAATAGACTAAAATGGGGAATAAGGATCTGCAACTGACCTGGAAAAATATAAATAAATTCTAGTAAAAGACAATAAATAATTAATCATGTTCCGATAGAACTACGACAATTAAGTAATCAAAAAATCAGTATGGAGAAATAAATTCAGTTGTCTCTAAATGTCCTGAATATAACAAAAAATATCTTGTAGAAGGCAAGAAATATATAAAAGAACGTTCTAAAATAATTTTACATTTTTTTAAATGAAATAATTAAAAAGTGTTGTATTTTTTCCGGTTCTGCAACAGGACAACGACTTTTCATTAATGCCTTAACATTTTTTATTAATTTTTCATCCAATTTAATAAGGCCCTTTTACAAAATTATTTAAAGTTTTCAATTTATTTTATGTAACTATGCATTTCCAATCCTTTATTAATAATATAATAATACATATATTCGAAAACTTCCTTCCTTCCTTGTCATCCCAATTTGTTTGTGTTGTCCCATATCATATCTGACCCCATATAACAATTTTTCCTACAATTCGTTATTAATGTCTCAACCGAATGATTGTCCATGCGACCATCCATGGCCCCCTTACATGCTTCTCTCCGATGGTCCCACAATTCTCCAAACATTCCTTTGGAATAGTTGTATACCTATTTTTTAGACAGGATTCTCATTTGTTTACTTTTTTGCGCCTTCCATTTGATTGCTGTATCTGTTTGTCTGTTTGTCTGATTCCATTTTTTTTATTTTGTTGTTCTCTATTTTCAGAGTTCAGGGATATGTCATTGTGTTGTTGCTGTTTATATTCCTTGCTCTCACTCTCCTTCTCTTTCTCTGCCATTTCTGTTTGTAGATTGAGATGTAAAGCAAAATTGATTACAGCCATTAGTTACACGTTATGTGCAATGGATGCCATCAATTTATTAATCTTTGGAACACGACGGTTCGCGTTTTTATATAGCTTTTTTTTTTTTTTGTATTTTTTGTTTGGTTTATACTTTACTCTCGCTGGCCGTTTTGCCTGTTATATTTGTTTGTTTGCTGGCTGGCTGGCCTGTTTGACTTTATCCTTTTGTCCATACAAATTCATTTATTCATTCATGTTTTTCTGCCAAGTTCGAGCGCTTATTCTCAAGTTTTAACTCACGCATTGTCCGCTGGAATGGATGCTGCGCTGAAGTGTAGATCGCTTGTGGCCCAAAAGAAAAAAATCAGCAAAGACGACAATAAAAAAAATCAAAAATATCCAAATGAACAACAAACTTAAAATTCATAAGTTTTTAATTGTAACCCAGTAAAGAATTTTGGAGCTGAAAAGCCCAGGGAATGAGCTGGGTTCAAACGCTGACAGAAATATTCAATTTTCAGTGGCTGCTGAAGCCTTTATCCAGATACCATTTCGGAATGTATCAGACTGGTAAACTTTACTATGGATGGTGTTTTAGTATGTTCGGCCGTTTGGACTTGAAAGAGTTTCCCTAATTGAATCGATCTGTATCTACTAAAGTAGATATTTTGTTAATCTTAGATATTCCGAAGATGTGGTCATTAGAGTCCACTTCATGATTTTCCTGGCGTTAATCCATCCCCACTTGGACATATGGCCATCTTTCTCTGTGATTGCAAACTGATGAATTGACCGTTTTTTTTAATTTACGCCAACGTAAATTCTTGAAAATATATTTTTTAAAAATATCCGCCTATAAAAATCCTTAAAAAATATTTTTTTAAAAAATCTACGGCTATAAAAATCCTTGAAAAAATATTTTTAATGTCATAATTTCTTCACTGTCGAACTTATCGACATTTACACTACTTTATGTGAAAAAAATGTAATGTATTACCTTGCTTCTACTTTCTTTGCTGGGTTATTGCAATAACAAAAAATCATACCATCTTCAAACCACAGGCTATCTGTAGCTTATATATTTTTGTTGAATTCACTTTTTTGGTTAATTTTTTGTTCATCTGAACAGTGTTTCACTTTATACGAAATTCTTATGAATTTCAGCATAGACGTTAACGGCCAAAAACGAATCACTATGACTGACTAAAAACCATGCCACAGTGTCTTTGTCGTTTATAACCACTTAACGCCTGTTTAAGTTGCCATGTATCCATTAAAATTATTAATGGCCGGCTATGGGTCTCCAATATCACCAAAATGAAAAAAAAAATAAAACGAAAAAAAATCGCAAAGAGATATACCAGCGTTGCTTTAGTTTTACAAACGTGACTAAGTTCTAAAATATGTTAAAAACAGCAACACCAACGACCAACACTAGCAATAAAAAAGAAGTAGTCATGGTACAGAACTGCTCATAAGGTGTATTTTTTCATCCTCTTTCTTTTCTTTGAACTATAAGGTCACGATTTTAAGTGAACGAAGAAAAAACTATTGCAAACTGAAACTCTTCCTAAATTGAGTTGTTCGTGTAAATAGTTTTTCCGCCAACAACAACAACAACGAATTTTATAAAAAAAAAATAAAATAATATACCCTGATCTCAAATTTAAACAGAAGGCAGATGTTGCTATTGTTATTACGCCGTGATATAACA